AATCATTTTAATAATGGAAAATACATCGGTTAAAATAATTAATTCTATAATTTATTGTTAATATTCAACAAAGTATATATTTGTACGTACATCTTGAATCGATTTTTATTTCACAACCAAGGAAATGTATTATAAATATAGTGGCTTTACTTATCGTGAATTACGATATGCAGTAAGTAGAAATCGATTCATCATTTAGAATCGATAAGAAGTCAATTACTTACTTTATTATTTAATTTTAATGTATAACAAATAGATAATCAACAGTGGGAAGGATGCTATTTTTTGGAACACACCTTGAAAACAAATTGATGGATCAGACATGTCACGTATCAGAAATCAAATATTCATAATATTGAGAAATATTTTCGTAGTTTTAATAGTTTTCTCAATGATAGCATTAATAAAATATAATAACGCATGAATCTACTCACTAATATTTGTCACGTGCACTGTATCACGCTTTTCATTTAGTAGATATCATAGCAGATGAACTAACTATAAAAAATAGCTACACGCTGTTTCATAGACGAATATGTAACGTATGCACACATTGCAACGATAAAGCTTTTACAAATATTACGAACACAATCATAAGCAAGCAACAAAGATAGAGAAAGAAAAGAAAGAGAAAAGATATAAATCGTCGAAACAACACGTAACCTTTACTGCCGTCGAAATACTACTGACTGTGGCGTCGGGTTTCAATCAGGTTATGCAAACCCTACAAACCCCCACTTTTCTTTTCCTCTTGTATACCTACGCACGTGACTCTCCAATGTGTTCCACATTTATTGTATATACATATATGCTGTCTAGACACGTCATATAACTCGGTAGATACAACGCAACATTTTGTAAAAATTAAGATACATGTAAAATATTTTATATGTTTTTTAATTTTATATTTATTTATATTTATTTTATTATATTAACTTTATATTTATTATAATAAAATTGTATGTAAAAAATTGTAATCTTTATTAAAATATTTTTAATATATATGTATACTATTTATTTATATATTTATATATTTTAAAATAATATTTTAATATTAATATATTGAAAAAGAATATTGATGATTAACTTTATAATGAAATATTAAAAAATATTTGATTATTTTATGAAGAATTATTTTTAATATAGAATGTTTGAAAAAATCAAGAAATTATTAAAATTTATTCGAATATAATTGTACTTTACTGTAACGTGTGTTTATATAAATAATACTTAATATCGATAATTAATTATATATAATTCAATCATTGGATTATTTTATAAAATTATTTCATTCTTTCATAATTTTATGAATTTCATTATTTTAATATAAGAAATCAATTAATCTTTATAATTACATATTTATAAGTTGATATATATGAGAAAGAAATAATTATCTCTCATGTTCTTGACTTATATAAAATTGATATATATGTATAAGTACTTATATTATACAAATTTATATTTCGTAACAGATTATAGATTATAGATTATAAATTGTTCAATTTTAAATACATATTTCAGACTTAAACTTTGATTTCTATCTATCTATATATTTATTTCATATTTATGAATATGTATTTCATTTTAATTTTATTTATATATCATTATATGATAATAAAAGAAATTGTGTTTTATTGTTATTTTAAATATTTATTATTCAAGAAATAATAAAATTAATTTAATCAAACGTGAAAAGAATACATCTAACAATCACAATAGTAATTTTTTTCAAAAAATTTTTTAAAAACATATTGTTTTGAAATTTTTTTCAGACAAATTTTAAATTAAAAGATAAAATAAAAATTCTTCAACTCATAGTCAAACTTCTCTATCATAAAATTTATTGAAGAAATTTATATTATTGAAATATTTGTAATGAATATGATCTGAATATCTCGACAAATAATATTTATAGATATAATATTTATATGTATTATTTTATAGATCAATTCTTTTACGTAAATGGTTCTAAAATCATTTTATCATTAGATATTTTGTTGTATGACAATAATAAATTTATTTGTAATTAAACAAGTTGAATGAAATAAAGAGATCAAGTTTATATTCGAAATAATTTTCTGTAATATAATATTATATATAAATATGGAGTTTAAAGTATATATGATTATAAAGTTAATGTCTTACTCATATATACATATGTAATATCTATTATATTACCTTAACGAATAAAACGTCATAAATATTTTCATAAATATTATGTATTACATTGTAATACATGTAATACATTACAATGAATATAGTAAAGTACATAATAAAGTATAAAAGTTATTTTAAAAAAATTCATCATTGCTCAGTTTCTAATATGAATTTATTCGTTAATTTTAATATAAATTATTTTAATATAAATTTTCTTTTTTAATCATTGGCACTTAAGAAATATAACAAATAAGATTTAATATATTACAATATAATAATAAAATTATTAATTATCTAAAATTAATTAGCCATTTCCACGATTATTGTGCGATCATGAAATAAATGTTAAAAATTAGATAAGGAAATGCTCAAAATTGAATAATTATTTAACGATCCAAAAATATTAGTAGTGAATAAATCTATTAACTTTAGAGATGTGACAGAAATAGAGAATTAAATAAAAATGATTGATTTTATAAAAATATACAGTTTTAAATATTTATCTTTATGTCATAAAATTATATGATTCGTAAGAAATAATTTAAAATAATAGATTGTGAAATTTTAATATTATAATAAATTAATCAAAAAATATGATTATAATCAAATTTATTAAAAAATTCTTCAAAGAAGAATTTTTCTACCTAAAATCAATTTTATTAGTATTTTTATTATTTCTTCTTCAATAATTAATATTTTTTTCTAAAATAAAATAATTTTTTTAATATTATATTTTTAATATTATTAATATTAATTCTTTTATAATATATTCTTTATATAAAAAATTTTTTATATGAACTTTATATAAATCTTTATACATAAAATTCATATTTTTTTATTTGTTTTATTATATTTTCTTTATTGAACATTCATTCATCTAAACATTATTAGATTCTAATGTATTATCTACTCTTATTTTTTGTTCAAGGTTTGAAAAGAGATTCAATTAAAAGATGTACATTATTGTAGTATTAACAACGTGTTGCAAAAAGTTATTATAAAAAAAAAATCAATAGATTATATAACAGTTATAACGATTTATATAGACATACATATCATATTATATAAAATTAATGAAATTTGTACTATGCATATTCATCAAGAAATAATGAATCAGGAAAAGTAGATCGATAACAGATTCTATGAATCTTTTACACAATTTTTTACAAATGTTTATAAATACTTAATCATTTTTTTTGCATTTATCTTAATGCAAATCGGTCATATTGTTTTCGATATTTAAAATCTATGCACATAACAAAGAGAAAATAAAAGGTTCTTTATTTATAACTTTATCTCTTTTAATCTAGTCTGGTGATTTGTCAAAGACTTTATTGCGATTAATAGAGAAATAGAGGGTTTAATACTGAACAAATAAGATAATGCTTATCAAGGCCATTAAAAGACATTAGATGGCGAGAAAACAAAGATAACGAGATGATGTCTGGAAGTGAAAGATCGTTAAATTATCATTATAAATTGGTAAAAAATATATACAAGATAACTAATCGATGTACTTCTTCCGGTTCAACATAATTTGTTGTATAAATTCCAGTTTTGAATTTATATTAATTAGATTATTTTGATATAATAATATTCTGTCTGTTGTTTTGTCATTTATTTATAGCTTCAGGTACAATAGTTGCTATATTTTATAATCAATATAAAAATATGATTATAAATGTTATAGGAGATTGAATAATTTTTACAAATCAGAATTAAAATTATATTTTTATGTAATATATAACTTTTCTTATTCACATATTATATTATTATTATTATTATTATTATTATTATTTTATTATTATTATTATTATTATTATTATTATTATTATTATTATTATTATTATTATTATTATTATTATTATATATTAATCTATAGAAACGAATGATATTAAATCACAGAATGTTTTTGTTTAAAACGAGAATAAAAAAAATTTAATATTTAAAAAATAATTTCGAAATTATTTTTGATTAATTTTTAAAATTTATTATAATACATATACTTTGTATAAATAATGAGATCTTATTTGTTGAGTAGAAACATATATCTTAAAGCTAAATGTTTAGCTTTCTAGTCTTTCATGATAACTTATCTTAATCAGTCGTTTCAACTGAAAATTTATGTTTACATATATTTTATGTAAACTTCAGAATATAATATACTTAAATATAATACTTATATATATATATATATACAATATTTAAATATACTTTACTATGTACTTATTCAATGTTTTTTTTGTTTTTAAAACCATATTTACAATTTATAATGATATTTCATATTTTATATTTATTTATATTTCTTTTTATATATATTTATATGTTTTAAAAAAGCATGTTTATATAAATTTGATTTTATACTTATGCAATATTTAAAAAAAATATGTAATATATAATTTATTACCTTATATTTGGCAACAAGATTATATAATTACGAACATTTTTTATTTTTCTGCTCAACAAATAAAAAAATATTGTTTCAATTTCATTTTCAATATTTCATCTTCCATAATAATTTGTATAGATTCAAAATGTAAATAATTACATAGATTAGTTTAATGTAATGATCTAATATATCAAGTATACATCCAATATATTAGGATAATAAAAAATCTCAATAATAATTTTTTTTTGCGAAATAAAAAATTAATTAAATAAGTTTTGTTTTAAGAATAAAGAAAAATAATAAATTTTTCTATATAAAATTCCTACAATGCACTAATATATAATATATTTGAAATAATAAATTTAAAATCATTATTTTATTAGTATTTTTTCAATATCTTTATGAAATTCTTTTGTGAAACAAAGTAAACAATGCTATGATTTCAATTGAGATAGTCAACTAAATAGTTCTCACAATGTTGCAATCATCTAAAGCTCAACAGCTCGTGTTTTATCAACTCACAACATTTTATTGCCACTTTTTATGTTTTTCTATTTAAAATATAAGTCCAATTTCTAATATCTCACATCTGTTAAATAACTGTTAAATAACAATAATGTGTATATGTATATCTTTCAACATCATGATTTTATGTAACTTGCGAATTATAATTCAGTTGTAGCCACTCCCCAATATTGTTGCATTCTCGTTGCGTCTTGTTCTAATGAATCTAATCCGTTTCTTTCTTGAATTACAGCAAAATCATACTCAAGATTATATGGCATTAGTCTCTGTAAACTGCCAAAATAAGCCGCATTTGGACCTCCGTTTAGTAATCTTCTTCCACTACCGAATCGAACAATGGGTGGTCTTGATAGAGAAGGATTAAAGGATCTGGCACTTCCAAACCTCTTCGATAGAAAAGGCAAATTGCCAGCTAATTGAGGCGTGGATCTCGATTGACCTCGTCGTAGTGGAGTCTTCGTTAAAGTGTCCAATTCCTTGTCGAACAAGAGTTGAGTATTTTGCTCCAGCATATATTCCCAACAACGAAACTGCTCTTCGCTCAAAGCGCCAGATCTCTCGGATATAGTGTCTTCTTGGGCCGTCAAAGTAGTTGATATCTTCATTTTTGTTATGTAGTATAAGATAATTTATAAATAGAATAAATATGTTTATGTATGTATTATCGAAGAAATTTAATGTGAATGTAAATTATGAGTCACTGATTTACTGTTTCGAACGTGTGAAAGACTTGAATGTTGAGATTAAAATGCATAGTCACCAAAGATTTTAAGTGACCGGATAAGTCTTAGAAATTTTGCATGACTTATTTAACGAGTGAAAGAAAATGTAAAACAGAAAAAGAGAGAACAATGGATTTTAAAATTTATAATTATTCACATTAAAATTCGGATATATTTATTTCGATATTTATTACTTTGGATACGAAATGATTATTTAAATATCGTTGAAAGCTTGAATTGTTTTTTGTAATTGATATCAACACATAAACAATTTTTTCTTAAAAAATTTGTTTACAGAAAATTTTAAATAAACTTTATATATATATTGGAAAATATATATATTTATATATTATATTAAAATATATTTAGTGTAGTAAATTTAAGAAAAAAACAATTTAACAATTAAAATATTCATTTACCTTTCTTGTGCTGTTTTCGTTCACAAGAACACTTTGACGAGCTTTGTTCGTGGCTCTAGAAGCAGCACTTCCAGACCAAACTCTACCAGAAGGATATCTCGATTTTAAAGTACTATCACTAGCTTGGTCTGATTGACCACTTGGTGAACTTCTATCATCTTTATATGGCGGACTTTCATTTTCTTGTGTTGATCGACGGTTTTTAAAATATCTACCGGATCCATTGTGACCTTTGTTTGACCTATATCATTTAAAATCATTCAAACTTTTCATTTAAATATATAATATTTTTTATAAAAATATGATTTCAATCCTATTTCAATTGTATTGCTAGTCCACTTTTAATTCCATTATACACTTTATAAAATTGTTATTATATAATTTCATGTGGACTTCTCACCTATTCACTATGCTTTTCAACACGCCATTCAAATAATAGCCTTCGTTCGCGTGACAGCAGCAAGGTCCCGGTGGTTTATGAGCTGCCGGAGGCATGCAACAAGGACAAGGACACCCTGTCTCGGTTTGACCTCTATTCTTTCCAACAGCATGTCTCAATTCCCTCATCAACTGATCTAAATCACCCTGATTAGGTCCCGTTAGTCGCACAACTACAATGCTCAAATTATCCTCTGCTCCATAAGCTTGTGCCAGATCTTGAAGCCTTTTAGCAGCTAAAACAGGACTGGCCTCTGCTCTGGCTTCTCGAACAGCTTCCTGAATGCTCAGTACTTCCCATAATTTTTTATTACCAATTATAATAAATTCATCATCATCCTCTAACTCTACCTCTTCGAATGTAGGATCAGGAACAACAAGAGGAAACATAGCTGCGTTTCCTAATTGATTCTTCATAGATTGCTTCTTAGGTGGAGCCAAAATTAATGGACCAGCTGCTCTGCAGAGAACTGCTTTTGCGTCTCCAGAAGTTGCTACTTTCAACAAATATTTCGTTGGTGCTTTCGGATATCCTTGTTGCAATTGTATTCTAACAATATGCACGAGAGTTGCATCGATCCCATATTTCTGACCCTTATCTTTCAATTCCCTATGGGCAGATAGTAACGTATATTTTAAATATTCTTTTGACGTCTCTCGAACGGTTCTTTCCTCCAGCAAAAGGCGTGGAATCATTTCTTGGAGTGCGCTCGGTGCTTCTTGGTTCGAACCGCCATCGAATATACCGAATAGGCCTTCTATGTTGCAAAACGATGGCATTCGAATTTGGGATACGTACAATCTGCGCATACGAATTATCTGATCACGATTTGAAATGAATTTTAAAATTTGGAAAATTTTCATTTCCTTTGTTATAGGAATATCTAGAATTTATAGCATAATAAAACTGAGAGAATTAATGTAAAGAGAATTTTATAAATCCGACCTTTCTCTACATCCTGCTGTTTCTGAAAATCCTAATCTCCAAGGCTGTTCCGAACTTTTTTCCGAGGAAACAATTTCTTGCTGATGAGGATGCGAAGGCAGACTCGGTCTATTCTGTCCAGATACATCGACCAATGATATTGGTCGTTGAGACCTATATACCTGGAATTGTCTAGGATCTACGTGAAGTCTTGAATTGCAAGATATGTCAAGAAATTGAAGTTGCGGTGGCACCAGAGTAGCTAAATTTACTCTATCTAATTGATTATGAGCTAAATCCAATACCTATAAAAAGTAATCATTTAATTGACGTTAAATATTAAATTACTATTATTGAATTAAATAAATATCCATATATTATATATTATATATATATATATTTTATATAATATATTAATAATTTTAATAGTAAAATTACTTTTAACGATGCTGTTTTATTAAATGTTGGACAAGTCAAAAGTCGATTGGAATGGACACGCAATACGCGTAAATGTCGTAAATTGGCCATATTATCTGGCAGATATTGAAGACGATTTCCAGATAATACTAATTCTTCTAGATCTCTCCATGAAGCTATACAACTATAAATTAATAGTCTTTTAATTTTCAATTTTATTATAAAATATTAAAATAATAATGAAAGTTCGTAAATTTTATACCTTTCTGAAAGCGTGTCTAAAGTATTATAAGCTATATGAAGAACTCTTAAAGATGTAAATTTTGCAAGAGCATCCAAAGCAGTGTCTGTTAAACAATTTGCAGTGAGATATAATTTCTCCAAACTGTGATTATTATGTCGATTTTTATTTCCTTCTCCAAAGTGTGGAAGTTCTGACAATCGGTTGTTGGAAAGATTCAATACTTTCATTCTATAGAACGGAATTATATGTTTTAAAATAGAAAACTAATTTTTCTTTTTTTTCTTATTTTAATAAAATACAAATATTTAAAAAATATATTTTAAATTATTAATATTAATGTTTCTAACTTTTATTTTCAAAAACTATTATTTCTTAATATATGCTATATCACCCTGTATATTATATTGTGTTCAGGAATTAAACTATTCGCATACTTTTCCGTGTTGATGAAGAAAGTCGTTGGTAATGCTGTCAGTGCATTGTCTTGTAGCGTCAAATGAACGATGTTTAGTGGTTTCCTAGGTGGCGGAAGAGCTTGCAGTCTATTGTGGGGTAAGTGAAGAACTTCCAGTCTCGACGGCTGTGTTAATAATCTGTCTGGAAGGGCTGTTAAAGCGTTGTGAGACGCAAAAAGTGCGCGCAACAAAGGTAGATCTGATATCCATTCCGGAAGTGCGTCTAAATTGTTACTAAAATGAATTTATATAAAAACATAATGTTAACATAGTTTATATTTAAATTATCGATAAATATGCTTCAATGATTGATAACATGAAAATATGAATATGTTATATCACATGTATATTTTTTTAAATTTTGGATTGTGGATTTCTTACGTGTTAATACATCTTACGTGTTTTATAATTCTTTAATTAAATTCAAAATTAAGTAAATTATACAAGAAATTAAATATATCAAACTTAAAAAACAAATTGTGCTATATAATAATATTATGTAATTTCGTGTTTTGAAAATTATTTAATATTATTACTATATATAATATTACTATTTAATAGTATTACTTTATGTATTTATTATTTTATTTTTACTTACTAAGAAACATCTAGATGTTCAAGATTCACAGGCACTGGCTCGATAGTTAATTTTTTTAATTCTGTAATATGACAAAATAGTTTTCTCAAATAAAAATTTTTTATGTCCATATATGGTAAATATATTTACACACATATATGATAAGAAAAATAAAAAAGATCTTACTGTTGTTTCCAGCAATAAGAGAAACAATATTTCTCCCGCAGACCGTCAGTTCTGTTAAAATATTTCGCGCGCAACGAACGCTTCTCAATTCTTGAAGAGCACTGATGTCCAATTTCTCAATGCTATTTTCACTGACGTCTAGATGCGTTAAATTCTTGATTAAAAAAGAATAAAAACAATAACGATCATTAATCATTTAAGATTATTAAATATAATTCTAATTATGAATATATTTATGAAGCACTTACTCCGTAGTTTCCAAGTATGATATTTCCTTTTAATTGATTATTTCGAAGATTAACTTTATACAAATTATTTTGATTCTTTTCATCTTTACAACCTTTGTTATGGTCTGTTTTTGATAATACGTCCTAAAAATATTGAAAAAATTAATTTTCTAATATAAATATAATTTATAATATTATCAGAAACAATTTTTAATTTCGTTATTTTATTATTAATATTATAATTAATATTATTAATAATAAAAATAAATTTATTTAAGTCTTATACGTATATTATAAGATAATATACTCATATACTATATATAGTAGTACACTATATATATCTACAAGCATTAGTACCTTATTCGACCGCTAGGTGGCAAACTATTCGACCGAGTTTCTCGAAACTAAAATATGTTCAGAGGTATACATAAAGATGTTCGAAACCATGCCTCAGCACTCTGGTTTCCCTTCAAATCACGCATAAATCTTTCGCCTTTTACTAAAGATTTCCGTGGAGGGGAACAATTGATGAGTCTATAGACTAATTTTTTGTGTACCCGGCGCAAGCTGGGTCATTAATAAAGTAAAACATAACTCGTTGAATTATATGTTCCGTGTGTAAACTTTGAAATATCGTTAATACACTATAGTGTTTATTTTATATTCTACCATGTACAAAAATTATATATTGTATCAGTATTTTTTAGTAGATAACGATTATAAATTTTAATTTACTTCAAAAATTTGAACTATACTTTGTCAATTTATCTTTATTTAATATCATACATTTAAATTATCATCACATGAATTGAGATTGCTTAAAATTGATAAGATTTCGAAATGATTCGATGAATATTGTATCAATTTTTATTAAACACTTGTATCGATCTTCAACAAACAAAATTATTCGATAAAATTTTAATTGTATAACAATGAAAAATAAAATATTTTATCGAATTTCAGAATTCATATCGATTTGATTTCTAATACAAGTTTTTCTTTCTTTGAATTTAATTAATCGGAATAATTGCTTGATTCATTGGTCTGGAATTAATATATTTGTTACAACATAAGTTGCCACATCGCATCGTTCTATGGTTATTCATCGTAACAGTGCTTCTACGTGAATTTTGAATTACAAAATATTGTTAATAATTTTGTGAAACGTTACCGTTAATGCTAGGGCACGCATGTTGAAGAAAGATGGCAAACTGGTGAGGCAATTTCCAGCTAAAGAAATGTTTCTCAAGTTCTTCAACTCGATGAGTTCATATGGCAGCTCTTTGATTCCATTACGATCCAATATTAGCTCTTTGAGGCTGTGAACAATTATTTTTAGTGATTTTGGTGTTTCATTACAAATATTTTTTAGATGAAATATTATTTTAATAATTAATAGTTTAATTTTAATTTTTTATAAAATATTGTATAAATAATTTATAAAAATTTCAATAAAATAAAAATCATTTACTGTTTTTTTATCAACATATTGCATGACATTTCTCATTTTCAGTTTAATTGTACTTAATCGACATAAATTAACATTACAGTTACAGCGATTCGATGTCAATGCACGTTGCACCCTCGTTGCACGGACAAACGAATCGGTGAACCTAAACGAGCGGGCCGCCTACAGGATGTGCACTTGAGTAGAAAGTTTCAAATTATGGTGAAAACCTTCCTGGCAGTAAGCATCTGTGTCATCGAATAGACTTTCAGTTTTTAAAGTAAAATCGAAATCATCGCTGTTTTAAACAATAAAGATAAGTTAAAAATTGGATATAATTCATTATATTGATTAATTAACGTTACGTATTTGAAAATTGTAAAAAAAAATCTTTTTTTTTTTTTGCTTTTTTAGAAAAATTGTATTAAATATCGTATTAAAAAAAATTGAGACCAAGATTTTTATATTAATCTAATTTCATATCTAATTTATTATATTATTTTATTTAGCTGCTATTTTTCTTCATTTTTTTATCGTATCAAAATATCATTTTATATCTTCTTTGTATCTTTTTGTTTACTAAGCACGCACTTATTTCCAAAGGAGACAGTCACTTCTCGTCACCTGCTTCATCATTACTTATTCTTCGCCTGATGCTTAAAAAACGTAGAATATGCCTAAAGATCTAGATCATTCTTTTTAGCACTCTCTAATGAATAACTGAAACACTGTATTCTTCTGAAAATATTGTTTGCGTTTTTTAAACTTCTTGTTATATATTATAAAAAGTTTAAAAATTTATTAAAATATAATTTCGTAATCTCGTAAATAAAGTTCTTCCATGTCATTTTAATAGTTCAATATATATTTCATTAATTCGTTATTTACGCTATAATAAACTTAATAAAATAAAACATTACAAAACAATGTAAATTCAATGTTTCAACTCCATTAAATTCTTTAATAGAATTCGCTATCGTCTAAACTATTTATTGTCGATCTTTTTAAACAATTTATAGATCTTTTATTGCTTAGACTTGTTCCATTTTATTGCATCAGAGAATGGTTAGCGAATTCTAGAATCTTAAAATTCTTAATAAAGTTCTTTCAACTTGAAAATTATAATTGTCGTGTTAAACAAAGAGATACAGGTAATAGTTAAAATATATACATTCCATTATTCCAACAAATGTTCACAAATAACTTAATAATAAACTCTTGAGTAAACTTTTTTAACACTACTAAAAAATATAGTCCATTTAATAATTTTCCACTTCAATTATAATAGTACCATACTATTTTCAAATATCATTTTATACGATACTATTTTTTTTTCAAATATTATTCCTCAAAGTTTTCAACACTAATAAAATTTTCCAAATTTTTTTTCTTCACAATATCAGCATTACAATAACAATATTATAACTAATTTCTTCAATACAATACTCAAACATTACCCTCACAATTTCAAGAAACTTCTTGAATCGAGTTCCTTAACAGAATTTCATTTCAGGCGACTCATATTCAATATATTCTTCCAATAAATCCACTGCATAATTTTCTTCAATATGATCACCAATATAGCAAAGTGTTTTGAATAACCGCTTCAGCTTCACACTCAAACGACCTTCAGTTAAATAGTTGAACAGTTTCTTCCACAGGGACTGTGCAAACGTCACTCAGCCAGCCGTCAATAGTTCAGGATACCATAGAATTGTGAAGTTACAAGTTGGTGCACGCTCACACGAGTTCTTCAGGATACTAAGAAGTCCGTTACGAGTCGAAGCGTATCCAAGCAGTTCCTGCATCGAAGAAGAAAGAGGGAGGAGATCAAGGATGGCTTGGCTGGCCACTGTGACGTAACAGAAAGGAAAGATTAGCTTTTGCCAGTGGTGTAAGTTGGTTTATGCTGATTCCTGGCCTGCTTGTGTACCAACAACCAGCGATTGGTTCCTGGTTAACGGAGTTGGAACGAGGTATGTATGTACCTTGATGACCTGGTTTCGTTGCACAGAAGTTGGAAACTCCTTGGAAAGCTTCGATTTACTGGCAATATAATAACAATGCTTGGTTTTTCGGATAAGACAGAGAGTCGAGGAATTACTAGGTTGAATAATCGAGACACCAGAAAGCAAAGTTGAGGAAGAACTATATCTGTTTATATAGATGCAAACATCTGTTTATTATCCACGTTTGTTTTTTTACGTATTAAATTATTTTTTCTACTTTGTTGCGTAGATTCCTTTTACTTTCACTCTGAGATACTATATATACATATATAGTTATCCCACACGAAACGTTTTGCGTAATAATTCTTACCATCATGACAATAATTCTAATTTTCTTCAAGTAGAATCAAGGATATCTTCCTCTTTTCAATTTTCTTTCAAATCCAAGATATTTTTTTTACTTCCATCGATACGATTGTCATCGTTTCTTCTCCAACAGATTAACAAGGACTTAAAAAGAAGAAAAAGAAAAAAAAAAATTTGGGTTTCAAAAAGAAAATATATTCAATGCTTTTCAATCCACGATCTTCGCATCTTCTGCGATCGCGCATAACTGGACGAATAACTGAAGCAACGAGGCTTGCTCCTCTCGATCTCGACGTTTGATCGGGAATTGCACGGTTCCACTGTTTGATCGGCATCGCATTGTTCCTGGCGGAGTGTGGCTCGTTCGCAGGAAAAAAAGGAATCCAGGTGATAAGGAGCTTTTAAATTGCCCTTCTCGCGAATGGCTCCGTGTTTTTCCCTCCGAGTTGGGAAACTCGAAGAAGATTCTTCTTTAAGATCTCCTCCTCGTTGCTTGCTCGGCCTCCAAGAGACCCCGTTGAATATTTTAAACGGTTCTTTCGCCCCTTCGGGGGGAAACGGCCTGTTGGTCCTTTTGGCCATCCTCTTTCCCTTTTTTCTCATTCTTCTTTCTTTCTCTTCCCCATCGTAATTGCGTCTTTCATAGGATTTTAGCGTCACCGTGACTCGAAGAATTATCGAGGGTAATTTTTATGAAAATGGATAGTCTCGGATAAGTCTTTCGTTTTCCTTTTCGTTCCCTTTCTTTGGATTTCGACATTTTTGACGGGTAAGAATGGCAAAGAATTTTTTCGCAAATTTTGCCTGCTTTTCTTTTCTTGTCAGATGAAAATTAATTTCGTTCCTCGTAACGAAGAAATTATCGGAGGAAACTACTTTTTAAAAAGATTTTGTACACTTATTGTACACGCAATTTTATAAAGGATTCTACTCGATACTTCAATCTTTCTCTTCTCTCTCTTTTTTTTTTTTTACTAATTTTTTAAATTACCAAAGGAAAAAAAGGAAATGTTCGCGTGTTTCGTATCCATCCAAGATGTTGTACCGTTAAATTGACGTCAAAATTATACCGTTAATTATGATAAAGAAGGAAAATAAAACATTTGCTAAGATTATGTGTATAGAAATATTATACGTTATTATGAAACAAGGATTTCTTTTTATTCTTCTTCTTACTAATTTATTTCTGCAATTTTTAAATAATTACGAGGTAATTATCACAACTATTGGACAACTAAATAAATTTTCTTTTTATTGTTATTCGCGAAATGCAATGCGCAAGAACATTGGTTCATTTATTTTACGCAATGCATCACGTACAGTTTTAATCGTACCAAGGAATTCCTCTTTCACTTATGAATAATGAACGAGTTCGTTCACATTTGGTAAAAGCGGTTAACGTAATAAGCAATTCTATCCTTTAATATCCGTAAAGTAATATCTTTAAATGTGTAATTGTAATAAACAATCGATGTTGAGTATAAATCGAAATTGAATTTGAATTCGTTCAAACCTTCTTTTTCAAACCTTCATTTGCATTCTCTGTTTCGACCGCCATTTTCCATTTGACCAACCTCAATAACAAACTTAAGAAAATTGGTTAATGTATTTTCATTATGACGAATGGAATTCTTACATTAACGAGAAACATTTAACATTATTCCAACAAGGTTGGAAACGTTTTAAAATTCAAATTCTCGATAGAATTTTCTGGAATGCATGAAATTATTATTTTTATTATATTTATTCCGAAGATTATTGCAGCAAGTTTAATATGACATACTTTCTATATAAAAACTAGTAGAAAAATCGTAAATTCTATTATTTAATGTTTTTTCTATTCTACTTATTCGCTCTTAAATATTCTACATCGTATTCTTCTTTTATAGGAGAATAATCTTTAGAAGAATTTAAAAATACTAATTTGTCCTATTATATAACTCAGCTTCGTTCACATATCTAGTTAAATTATTAGTTATCTGGTTTCATTTCGTTTTTCCTCGCAGTAATTTAGTCAAATTATATGATTACAGCGAGGAGGAAATAAAACAGCATAAGGTCAGGAAGGGGAATCGGTACCATTATCATTAATTAACAACACGTGCACAAATTTCAAGGTTCAAGTTTTGTAATTGAGCGCAATTATGATTAAAATTTATTTGAACAATGATAAGCACAGATACGAGAATAAATTTATAGAAAATTGCAGATACATAATAAAACATGTATATATAAATTTTTTTTATTAAACATTGAAATTAATAATTTATAGCCTCTTCAATATAACAATTATCTAAAATATTTATTTTTTTCTCATTTATTTCCTGGCAATTTCGATCACCATTTGATTGAAAAGAATATCTAGTACAGTAGAAACTACAATAAAAAAAAATTCTTCCTTATTAACGCTAGAACAATCAAACAATCAAAAGCCGCAAAGAAATGATTCCATATTTTTTTTGTTTTTCTTTTAACAATTAACCACGATTTACTTTAATTACACAATCATTTGTAACACAAATATTTATTGTAAATACCTTTCAAATATGGCAATAATCCAAAGTCTCTTTCATAATCCATTACTTAACCGGACAAAAATAATAACCATATTTATTTCCATCCATAATTTAATTAATCCAAAATCAGAAGAATCATTTCCTTCCCGAAAATCTGCAATTTTCCATATTTGCGCCAATTATTACGCGCATTTATCAACGTTTTTCTTTATTAATTCATCGCCTCGAGCCCGAAAATTCCCTCCACGAAATCATCCTCCATATTTCATATCGCATTTCAACCCAGAGCCAGAGGCAAATACGGCCAGCCGATTATTGGAAAGTTTCGCAGCATTAATTCGCCGCACGCGGCCCCTTCTTCCACGCGGCTCTGTTTCCGCGCCACTGCACCCCGATCTTCTGTTGCCCAACCATCCAAACCCTCCACCAACTTGCCTTCGAGCGCTCGACGAGTACACCTCGTTTTTATTTCTCTCCTCCTTCCTTCGAAAAGGTGTATGGACGCGTGGCGTGGGACGGCCGTGGTATGTATGTTAGTAGTGGGCTCGTGCTCACGCCCGTAGTTCCTTCTCGTCCCGGGCATCCGTGTGGCATCCCGGTTTCCGGCCAGTGGAAACCACTTTTCGAGAAACTTTACGTAATCTCCGGCTTAATTACAGGAGGGCCTCTCGCGATCGAGCCGAGAGATGAGACGCTTTGCGCGATTTATTGGCCAACCCACGCGTACGACCCCCTCCCGTTTATCTCTGCTTCGAGAGAGAGAGAGAGGATTTGGCCAACCGAGTTTTATGCACGATTAAAATCACCGGCCCGGAGATATATTCGTTCTAATCTTTACGTAATTGTTGTATTTTTAGGCGATGCGATATAACGTTGGAACACGACGTTCGACTCATTTCGCGACTCTTATTTTTAACGCTGTAATTCTCATTTGAAATTTGTTTGTACAGGTATATTTTGGGTTTAGAGTAATTCGGTCGGAGTTGAACAATTGGTCTTTTCAATACGATCACGATTTAAAATTGGTTGGTAATGTAAGTAGTCGTTGTATTTTTAATATTATTGTATTGAGTTGAATAATTGCTGATAATTGCGACTTAAAATTTGATTTATAAATAAATGCACTTTCAATACTTTTTTAATTAACAAGTACAGTAATTGATGGTTGTTTTTCTTCGATTCAAAATTTGATCTATAGATAATTTGTTATATTTTCGTGATAACACGTTTGATCGATAATTGTTTCCTTTCTCGTTTGAAATTTGATCTCTGAATTTAATTATCGCAATTCTAGCGTTGCGATATTGGATTAATTTGCCAGTACGATAATATCGATTCGAAAGATTTTGAGTGGACATTTCGAAGGAAGAAAGTTTCTAAATTTCCGTGTTTTGGAAAAGAGAAAATATAATAATTTTAATCGTTTTAATAATAAAACTTTCGACGTAACGAGTTTCCACATCGCGATATCGATTTCTATTCTAATCTCAATTATCCATGGAGTTAAACGATTTATCTGAATTAGCACACCGTCGACTTGGCGCAATCGCAAGGAAATCGGCGAATAATATATCTGACTCGGCGTTTCCACCGATTAATTAACGGATAACTTTCTGTTATCACCCGCGTGGAAGACTCGTCGATTCATCGACGGATTGCCGATAAACCTCGATGTCGTTTCTGGAAATCGTTTGTGCAACTCGTGTTATCGTATGCGACATTGAACCTTGCCATTATATTAAAATGATACATACACGTGTTTTTTTCTTTTTTTGCGATATTTTAAGATTCAGTAGTGTTTTAAATCTTACAACCACAGAGATTTTCAATATCTTAAGTAGAAAGATATATATTCTATATATATATATATATATATTTTACAGTTATCTTTTAAGCGATTAGAAAAAGATTAGAAAAAGATTTCTAACGTTGATTCCTGTTATAAGGATTATAAACGAGATACCTGATATGTCTGATGAAAGATGGGAAATTTTTTTTAATAGAATTTCCAAATAGATTAATAAATCGTTAAATGTAAATTTGTATGTCGTAAGAATTAATCCAATCTTGATTGAATTATTTTTGTTTTTCTATTTAAGTTGATTTAAATGTATCGTTTATTATTTTAAGAAAATGTTAATCTTCCTTAAAATTCCGTTGTAAAAAGAAAGTTTCGCGAGCAGTAATATCCAATTCAATCCAGTTTGAGCAATACTTTTACGAAATGTTATGCGGTTAAAATATTGATAAGTGACTGTTCGGTGGATATGGAAAGGAGACGTCAAGAACATCTTAAAATTACGATTCTTCTATATGATTTGAAAATATTTCTTCGAAGAAATCGTTCTCCTCGTTGTGAAAGAGTATTATCCTTCAATGTTCCAGCCATGCTATTCCACGTCAAATCGCGACTCGAGCAATCTCATATTTCTTAGGTTTCTTTTACGTTGTTCAGCATTTATCGATAGCTTTGATATATATATATATATACATATACTGATTTCTCGAACAGAAATCAATTTTGAAACTGCCAACGATTTCGAAAGTCAGTTTTTATCGAAGTTGTGGATATACGCGATTAATGAATAAATAAATAAATAAGAAAAAAATTAATCTCAATCATCATTTCTCCATTTCAATCATTCAAATTATTCCTCTTTAAATTTATTAAAAAAACTGCTAAATTAAGTTTTCGAAAATGTTGGAAGAAATATTCAACGAAACGTTAATAAACAATTGAGAATGAAAAAAAAAATGAAGAAAGAAAAAATTAAATCGTTCGGTATAATTGGAATATTAGCAAGGAACAAGCCGCGTAGTACCAACGCCTGTTTCCTGTTTCAATCGAAATCTGATAAAAAGATTGACTCTACATACTTGATAAGCTGGCTTATGTCGGCCGGAATTTTCTCGATTTTATTGTCCGAGAGATTGAGATAGGTCAATCCTGTGAGCTCCAACAACTCTCGTGGTATCCTCCTCAACTCGTTGCTTTCCAAATGAACGATGCGGAGTTTTGGAAACCTTTGAGGAAAAAATTTCATCAATTCAATCGTGTTATAATAACGAAATCTCTCTATTAACGAATACATTCGAAAGATTCGATGAAGATCGTTAAAAATTTTCGAGCGCAACACATGTTACAATAATAATAATAATAATGAATTCACGGTGAAAGTGGATGTTTTCGTACCTGTGCAACAATGTCAGGTTGTTGTTGGTGTTCGTTAGCTGGTTTTGGCTCAATATCAGCTCTTCTATCGCCGGAAATGCTATAGCGCTGTCGGGAATCCTTGACAGGCCCCCGTTGCTCAGATCCAACTGTTTCGGGCACGATGACAATTGTATAGCCTGCAACAATGCAACGAGTTTTCAACATCCACAAGATGAATGGAAATTGATTTAAAACGCAAATCATCCATCAAAATTTCATCATCATCGATCCATTGTTGCTACGTCTCTTATTGCTGTTCTCTCCGTATTAATAACTGTTTCACATTCATATTACTTTTCATCAAGAGTTTGAGTTATTGGATTGTAAAATTTTCTCAGATATCTATTATACACCTTTTTTTCTTAATCTAGGGATTTTTCAATGTAGATAGTTTTCTATATATATAGTAAAATTTT